AATAGCTACTAAGCTAAGGTAGTAGCTTTACTACTTATATATAGAGCTTTAGATAAGGGCTAACTAATAGAGGCTAGAATAGGCTAGCTTAGACAGAGATGGATGAGAAGTAATTAGAGGGGGACGTGTCCTGACAACTATTAGTAGGCACTTAAGCTCTACTATACTATATAGACCTAAGTAACATAATAACTCTTAGCTTGTAATAGTATTCTAAAAGGTCTAGCCTATAACACGTGTTATTATAAAGGTGATATTATCATTGAGGTGATAGGCCCGTGCGGAGCATGGGTAGTTTCATTGAAATTCTGCTATAGCAGCCGTTAGGCCCGAGTAATCTATTTTTTTTATTTTTAAGATTTTTCTTAGCTTAGTAATAAATCACTAAAAAAGTCGACTTTTTTGGATTTGGGTTTTTTTTATCACCCTACTGTAATATTGAGTCAAAATCTAAACTGTCGGTATTGCCCGTGAAATAAAGATGTGAGTTCTGTGTAGTTACGAGTGGATTCATGGCGCTGAAAGCATCCTCTCCTAAATTACTAGCGTTGCTGTTGAATCTTGATTCAGGATATTGACCGGTAGAGGTATGGGGGGCCACCTGGCATGCCAATGGGGATGAACTCCACTCCAGAGCTCGAAACCCAATTGCTTCATTGATAGCCTTAGCCCTAAAGAGTCAGCTAATCCTAGAAATCACATACGGCTCCTACTTTGGGGCAAAAGAACCCTTCGACTTACGAGATATTAGGGAGATATTTTTTGATGATGCTTTGAACGCTGATTGCCCTACAAGGATATGCAGCTAAACTAGGTATGTCGACATTCTCGCATATGTACCTGACAAAGCTCTCCCGCCTGTCCTTGCTGAGTCGATTGATGGTGCGGATGAACTGGTAGTTAGATGTATCGAAGATAATGTGATGCATGATCTGGGCTTGTTCGAAATTGCAGTGTAGCCGAATCGAGGCAATGATCGAGTTGATAAGCACCGTTTCATCCCGCAGCGTCTTCAGTCCGCGTGAACTCCCGCTGAACCCAGCTTCCCGCATTTTCGCGTTGATCTGTGTTAGTTAGAATGTAGTTTCATGAGCATTTCGGGTCAAGTCGATGGGATCGGGAAACATAAACTGGTGAACGAACTCACCTCGCGAGCAGCGCTCTTTCCCTGCTTGGGCCAGTAACGCTGCCATATGAGAAAGAAACAGAGTGATAGAAAGCGTAGGAACTTTCCACACTTTACTTTTTGGTTGGACTGCCGTGAGAAACTGATGCACATTTGCCATGCGCGAGTGGCGTTCTCTTGAGATAAGCTTACGGACGTAGTTTCAATACACCTTGAAGCTATATTTGGTAACAGTTCCGTATTTGAGATGATACCTGAATTGATGCGTTCAAGAAATGCATCTACTGCTCCCGTCATAGGATTGACTGTTAGATCGACCGAATTCCTCCGCCTTCTTTCTCTCCGCGGCATTTTATGTTGCTTAGTCATATCAAAGCCAAATGATATACCACTCAATGAGATTTCATCAGACATTTGCGATGGCGTTGAACTCCCAGATCCTGGGGATAATACCATATAATGCTCTAGGTGGACACGTGTTCGGGCTTCACATGAGTCTAGTCCTGATTCTGCACAAGACATGGGTGGAAGCTCTTTCCTATTTTTTCTTGTCAACTTGGTTTTTTTATAGGGTGTGCGTTGGAAACGGAATCCTAGAAGACACGTACCAGATACCAGGTGTTCGCAGATCCCAATTGTGCCATGGAATCAGAGTCTTATAGATAGTTTCTGTTACTTCATAAACAGAAGAGTGAACAGGTTCATACTGTATCTTAAGACAGCAACGTGCAAAGCTTCCATAGGCACAGTGGAAGATTTGGCCTGGGAACTCATTTAATGAGAATGGAACTACGGATATCTGGATTCCTAGATAATGATATCCTTCAATCGCAAGTGCAAAATATAGGTGTGATGCTTCTGATGGTGGGTAGACATATCTAACGGGATGTTGTAAATCCTTAGGAGTGACAAAGTATGTAGTGTTTACTAGGCGTTGTGATTCCTGGTCTTCCATGATGTAAACTTAATATAGTAACGCAATTTGGTTCTATCCTGTATTGTAGAGGGGCCAGGTTCGATTTGTCAGTGTAAATAATGTCAAAATGTGACGCTGAAGATCATCATACAAAACGAGCTTTATAGGTCAACGAGTCATTAGGTAATTAGCAAGATGCGCTATTTGCATATCTATCGTTTGGGATGCTACAGAGGTGCGTCTCTTCTAGCTCCGGTCATATGTTTTGGTGATCGGTCCGATTTCTTATTATTTGGGCCAAAAGATGGCGTGCCACCACCCGTGCTGCGCATGGGCCCTCGCAAGCATATATCGTACGGATGTGCCCGTTAAAAGTCTTTGCCTACCTGGGCGTGCAGGGGTAGATACACTATTCTTAATTAGAAAGTATCTCCGAGCTTACGTGGCTTATCCTTTCTAACCTTACGGAGGTGCCTTTCAAAAGTATTGTCTGCCAAGAATAATCTAGCCGATGTACGGCCGCCTTAGCCGAGGCTTGTCTCTCCCCTCTATGTACTCATTGCCACCTTGT